TTAATTATAGTTTTTATAGAGTGTCATTCAATCGTATCGTCCTGTTATACTTTTTATCATCCTCAGATATCATCATCGTCATCGTCGTATTTTTTCGTAGTCTCTTCTCTTGGTCGATGTGTAAACACCAAGTTGTTATTCGAGGAATATCCCCGTCGTTAGATAGAGAATCAGAAAGAGAAAGAGAGAGAGAGAGAGAGAGAGAGAGAGAGAGAGAGAGAGAGAGAGAGAGAGAAAAGAAAAGACGTATAAAGAAAAATAGTATATTCAATTATATTATACATGTATATATACAAGGATGGATTGAAAAGTCTTAAGCGTAATATTTTCTACTAATTTTGAGACTATATATAAAAAAAAATAGAAATAATTTTGACCGAAAAAACCTAAAATTGTTTTCATGTTAGGTTCATTATTTGTCAATACCTCCCCTTACCCCCACCCCCACACGAATATATGTAATATAATGATAATAATTAATATTTATTATTATCATTAATTATATATTATACAATATATTATTTAATATAGTGTATGTGTGTAAATTAATAGTAGCAATAAATTATTTTTCGGCCTTAAATGGGAATACATATATAAATTAATATATATATAGGAAGAGACTAGTATAATATAATGAGATAATAAGATAAAATTTCAAAGAGAAATAGAAACATTTATATATACTTATATACTCTCGTTTTTGTTTCTTTTACAATGAATAGAAAAAACATTATCATTGAAATTATTTCAATCCGATATTTTTATTGAATTTTTTCCTTCTTTATGTATATACAATTTATTTTATTTCGGATTGTAAAAATTTTGTTGTTTTATTTTTGTAAATAGAATATCCTAATTAAATGATCTTGATGATTACGATGACTACGATTACGACGATGACGATGACGATGACGATGACGATGACGATGATGAGTACGAGTACTACACGACGAGTTTGTTTTCCATGCTCTTCCCTGTCCTCGTCTATCTGTTCTGTACCACTTTGGATGCGATAACGGCCGGTTATCATTGTTACAGCTATTAGCGTCGCGATGCCGATATTATCCGTGCACGAACAATGTCGTCTAGTTACATTCTATCTCTCTCTCTCTCTCTCACATACTAATACTCACACATATCCATACATATATACATATATACACACGATCCTCCATTTATTTGGAAGAGGCAATATCGGACCAGCTAGTTCGCTTTAATCGCTCGACGAAAGTTAATAAATTAACTTAAAGTATTGCACTCTCATACCTTTATCCAATTATGTTGCCAGATATATTGATGTATATGTGTGGATGTAATTAAGTGACTACCGTTAAATATACGATACTACCAAAGTGTATATTTCTATTAATATCAATTTATTAATCATAGGGGGTTTTTTCATCTTTTGTATTATTATTAATTTTTCTTTAATATGTTTATCGTTTTGATTTAAAATCAAGCAAATATTTTGTCAGAGTTATAGTAATTTATTTTTCCTCCTCTTGTATTATTTTAATTATTATTATTATTGTTATTGTTATTTGCTTACAATATTTACATTTGTAATATATTTCTCTTATTTATTGGTATATATATTTATTTGCATCGAGTCTCTTTAATTTTTTTATATATATATTTAAATAATATTTAAACTAATTCACATATATCACATCAATTATTTTATTTTCTACAGGGTTGTGTATACATTAGTATAACAATATTGTTTCATATAATTTGTCAATTAATTAATTTCATTAATTATTTATACGACCACGTATGCAATTTCAATAATTATACGATAATTTTGTGTGCGAATTATTATATTTTCATGATTCGAAGAATTTTTTTTTTTCTTTCTTTTTTTTCATTTTATTTGTTATAGAAAATTTTGGATATACGAGGACGAGTTTAAAGTGACTATCGAAAAGGATGAGGCCTAATAATCCGTTGGAATGTTTTATGTTCTTTCTTTTCCTGATAGTTTCGGGAGGAGAATCAACTTCCGTCCGAAACAATCTCTTCCACGAGAATGATCTCGTTTCGTCTACAAAATCCAACAAGTCTCCTCCATTATCGATTATATCACCGATCGATTATCCCGATAAACTTCATTCTTGTCTTTACGTGCCACCTGATTTACCACCTTGCCAATTTATAAGGTAAATATATATTTAGATTATTATCCGTATAAATAATTACGTTCATTAATTTATATTTGTTCATTTATTTTTGTTGTAAATAGAAACGCAAATGCTCAAAGATTTTATCGTTCGATTAACAACGATAGAATTAATTCGGACAACGAATTGAATTATCAAGGTCACTTTACGGTTTATTCCTTGCAAGGTTGCTTACCATCCAGGTAGATAAATTTCTTTTAACCGTTCGTCTTTTTAAGGCCAACTTTTCTATTTCAATAATATTAAGAACATTTTTTATTTTCTTTCACTTTTTTTATTCCTTTTTTTTTTTTTTTTTAAAAAAAAAATAAAATAAAACATGAAACGTTTTATATTTATCTTATTGCAAGTAGGATTGGATTTTATGGTAAAAAAAAAAAAAACAAAAAATTGTACATTGATTTATTGGATTTTAAAATTAAATGTTTGCAAATATATTGCAACACGGCTTTGAAGAGATTAATAATAAAAATATGCAATTAATATATATGAAATGAAAAAAAAAAAATTAACAAATATAATTTGTCTTCTCTTAGATTACCTTTCAGAATGATGTTGTGCAAGTCTAAGGATCTTTTAGAGAAAGCCACAAAAATCTGGAAATTATATCCTTTTAAAATCGAGGACGAGGAAACAGTCGAGTCGACATTTATATTTCCACAATTCGATGTAAATCAATGGTCGAAATCTATGAGATTACTTCGCGAAGAAAAGGACAAACAAAATCGAAGAAACGATCAAGATGACTTGTTGAAAACTAGTGAAGAATATTTATCATCTTCATCAATGATCTCATTTGAAAATAATCATAATCGAAATGATATAATAAAATCATCATCGAGTTCTTCGTTTCTCGAAGATAATTTAACGAATTCTTTGACGAATGATAGAAAACGAAAAAGGAGAAGACGAAAAAGAAGTGACAAATTAAATCGTCGTGAAATTAGAAGAGGAAGCGAGTTTCCTTATTCGAAATCGATACCATTCGATATTAAAAAATTCAGTTTATCAGGTAGATTAAGCAAATTTTTCTAATCGAGTCCTATTTCTATTTTGAGTAGATTTTTTTAGAGACGATAAAATGGGCAATGAATTTTATTAGAAGAAGAGATATGTTCATTTCTAAAGATGAATAATTTTGGTGTTTTTTTTTTGTTTGAAAGTTAGGTGATTCTTCGATCATTTTATTTTCCATTTATTGTTAGATTTATTTAATAGTAATAGGGAAGGAAAAAGAGAAGAGAAATGTTTACAAATTGAATGTCGGTAATTATTATTATTAATATTATTATTATTAACACGTTGATTGTATGATTTTATTATTAAATATATGATATAATACATTTTTTAAATATAGTAAATATTATTATTATATCAAAAAATGTATTATAGTAGAAAAAGGAGATAAATTAGTTATTAAAACAAAGACATTTTTTTTCAATATACTCTTACTATTAATTAGAATTGTACACACAGTATAGAAAACAAAAGAAATTAGAACAAATTGAAAAAAATAGAGAAATTAAAATAAAAGAAAATTAAAAATAATACAAAATATTAGTAATTAATTTATAATCAACGTGTTATAATATTATTTTGTTATTATTAATATTAATATTATTATCTTTATTATTCTCCCTTTTACGGGTTTTATAGGTCCGTTCCCTTTACAAACGTTTAACACATCCTTACCATTTCTTCGCATTAATACACACATCTAATAACTAACTGAACACGCAACCGAAAAGCTAATATAAATATACTTAATATAACCTTAATTTTAATACAATTACTTTAACTATTATAATATTAATATTAATATTGTTATTATTATTACAAGAAGTAGATATTTTTTGAAAAGAAAGATTACTAGGACTTTTAGGTGAAATTAATTTTTATTTTCTACTTTCTTCGTGTTACTTTTTATTCATCATTTATTTTCCATCATCGAATACTATTATTATAGAATGTTTAATGTTTAACGATCGAAGGTTAGGTCGAAGTGAGGTCATCCTATTGATACGAATAAAGATGCATACGATTTTTGCATTTTTACATTGAACATATCAGCAACGTCGAACGAATATCAACGCTCGTGTTGTGACTATCATCATCATTTTAATTAATCGGAAATCGAATCGACATAATCATTGCAATTTTTTTCCTTTTTTTTCCAATCGATGTTTATTTTCAATTTCAACTGACTCTTTAATATGCCTTCTAATCTACATTAACAAAGTAATAGGGCACGATATCATGCGATAAATATTTTATATGTATATGTGTATAGCTGTGATATTTCATGTTTTGTTAATTTAGGTTAAACAAATATCGCCGTATATTATTAGATTTTATTTTATTACATTGTTCGAAAAGTAATTATCAACATTTTCTCTTTTCCTATTCCGATGTTAAATAAAAGACGACTTTTTTTTTTGTTTTCATTCATAATTTAAAAATCCAAGGGATTTTTTTTATTAAATGTATCGTGAATTTAAACTTAACGGTTATTTCTATCGTTCGTTTTACAGACAATTAACATTAATCGGTGTTTTTATTATAAGAAGAAATTATCAGAACGAAAATTTGGAAAACAAATTTGACACTGGTGTTCATTTAATGGTCTGTTGTTAAAATGTAAAACGAATTTGAGGTTTAAAGCAAGGTTGGTTACTCAATATTAAACGCGACTAACAAAATTACTTTTCGAACGAAGCAATATTTTTGTTTGTATCTTTCCTCGAAATTCTTGCTAACGATCGTGACATTTTATTTTATTAGATTATTTGTCTTTTCTTTTTTTTTTTCTTATTAAGAACTAGTTTAGTTAGAATATACGAAGTAACATGTGTGATATATATGTATATGTATATATATATGACAATGAGATATTTTAGATAATTACTTTTAGATAAACAGAGAGTAGATTATATTTAATTAATTTAGTGAAAAGTTAGTGAGAATAATTGTTTCTAATAACCACCGTTAAAGATATATATATATATTTTTTGAAAGTAATTCTTCTTTTGTGCCCTTTTTTTTTGTGCTTTTTTACTAACACATTGACAGATCTAATTAATTTAGATTATAAATAAAAAAAGAAAATAAAATACACATTCCTTATACGAATAAATGTTTTAACATTTCAATACGTCAAATGTTGTAAAATAATATATTATATATTGCACAAATTGTGACGATCTTCAACGTGTTAGTAAAAATAAATAAATAATTATAAATAATAATCGAATTTTTTACTTTGATAAAAGATCAATGTGTTAGATAGAATATATAGAATTAATCATAGATAATAATAAAAATGCCGATTGAACAATGATATTTTTTACGATGAGACTTATATAAAATGTTATCGATAAAATTCTATAATGAAATATTTCGTAGTAAGATAAAAAATAAAAAAAAAAACCGAACAAGGAGTAGAGGGGAGGGAAAGAGAAAATGGAAAATTAGATTTATAATATAAGTGTAATTTTAAAATATGTATCTCTTATCCCTCATCACGTTGTACAATTTGACTAGTCGTTAGATCATCAACGGATTTTTTATTTTCCTTCTTATCACCTTATGTTATTAGACCTTGTTATATTCTTCGAACAGTTTGTTTATAAAAACGATCAGCTGAGGTCATCGGGTTTGTAAGAATTAATTGGATACTAGGAGGAAAATCACGGGTTTCCTCTTTAGTCTTCGTTAATTCATTCGCAATAGAGGATCATTATAATAGAAAAATATTGCGATTTAAAATAATAATAATTTTAATGTGTTTATAGATTTTTTAAATCTCATTAATATGTTTACAAAATTTTTCTAAATATAAATCTAATAAAAATAAATGTTCATGCATGCAACAAATTTAATTATAACGTATAAATCAGATTAGATCATACATTTTAAATCTTACAAATTTGTAATATTTTAAATCCTGAAACAAAAAGTATTGTGTGTGTGTGTGTGTAACAAAAATCTTGTGTAATATAAATCGGATCATAATTTTTTTCATTACAAAATTTCAAATCGCCTTATTTCATTGTCTCTCGTTTAATTTATTCCAATTTATTCTATTCTACAGAGGAATCTCACAAATTTGTATTTTAAATATCAAAACGTAAAATGTATTGTTTATTCGTACACAAATTTCATGATATAAATCGGATCAGGGATTTTTCTTATATAGAATTTTAAATGCCTTATTTGATTTTACTTATAATTTATTGTAATTAAATAGGGAATATCATCAATACAAAGATATCATGCGAAAAGGGGAAATATGATCGATATTTTTGAAATTACAAAGATTTCTTGTGGGTTCTTACTAGTCATGATTATCTCAACGATCATTATCGTTATTTAAACTTCTCGACCGATTATTTCTTGATCTTTCTCGTAAAAATTTCTATTTGTTTGTTCATAGTTTCTATCTCTTTTTCTCTTTTTTTCGTTTTATTTACTGTAGTTTGTACAAGCCACGAAGACAGGAGACACGATCCGTAAGCCTTTAGCAGTTATCACGCAAACTGGTTGACGCCACCTGACCACTTCCACGAGAGTTCAGATTCCGCTATTTCACAGTATCGACCTCCACGTCCAAACAAGGTTACTTCAATCGAACCTGAATGACGGCTTCAGGACGAAGATCAAGATCAAGAATATTGTCCAAACCTTTCCCCACTCCCCGGAGTATTTTCTCATTTTGAGATTCAACTATTAAACTTATATTTTCATTAGAACTTTTCAAGTTAAATTCGATTAAAATTTAACCAATTTCATTATTAAAAAACCAATTATATTTTATATAATTGTTAGATAAAATATTCCAAATTTTGTCCAAATGAATTCGATTTAGATCTCATTACTAATTGAAAATTCGGTTAATTCGTTTGTCGTTAGAACAATCATATTTTTGTGTATACGAAATGTTAAGGTAAAATATTCTAAATTCGACTTATGTTAGATTAAGTAAAGTTGCGAATGATTCTACTACGCTTTAGACCATACATCTAATTGCAAGTTGCAGTTAATTACGATGAGAAGAGGGTGAGAAGACGAGAAGCCAGGTTTAAAGCAGCTAATCTCGTTTTACCGACGACAACGATTAGCCCCGATGAGTGAAAGTACCCGAATATTGTGTAGGTTTGTATTATTACTAAAAGTTCTTATTGTATCAATCAAAATTAATCAAAAACGATTAACAACGAAAACTCTACGTACACAAAACTATTAATATAATTCGCTTGAAAAAAAAAAATTAGTCCTTTTCTTAATAATAAATTAAAATGAAAAATATTCGTCGCAAACAAACGCCTATAGATATGCAACCCTCGATACACCGGTGTAGGAATAGCAATCCATCGCTATTCGTACTTTCGTTTTTTTTTTTTTTATTACTTGCAGTTTATGTAATTACAAAACACAATGACCGATATATTATTATTATTATTATTATTATTAAAACATCAAGAAATATAATGTGCTAATTGCGTTAAATAAAATCAAGCTAATAAGTAGAAAAAATTATATAAGAAAAAAAAAGAAAAAGAAAAATAGATAAGAAGAAATTAGAATTGAAAGGTAAAGAAGAGTAAAAGAGAAATAAGGAGATGAGTCGTCTGTAATACAGCGTAGTGTTGTGCGGAGGCTGCGGTTAGAAAGGCAAGGCAGCTCGTTGGAGTCACCGTGTCGCGACTGCATACCTACAGCACCTATACAATCAAACTATACCAGCTGGATAGCTCGGTCCCTGCTCGCATGAGAGCTACCTGTCCAGTATGTACGGTATCCGCGTACGAGTAGTGCCGTACGTTCGATCGTCATCGGTTCTTTGCGTTTAACGGTGCTAACACACTCCTGGCACGCATCTCTTTCTCTTTCTATCTCTATCTTTCTCTTTCTCTTTCTCTTTCTCTCTCAAACTCACTCACACTCACTCTTACTATTAGGCCTTGACTGGTCCAGGTCCAGGTCCAGGTCCAGGTCCAGGTCCAGCATCCTTGTACCTTTAATTATCACAAAAAACGAACCGATGTATATTTATTAATGATCTTTCTAAGATCGGTATTGTGGAATTCTTTATTCGTATGTTTCCGGGACACGCCTTCTTCTTCTTCTACTTCTTATTTTCGTATTGAAATATTCGTAAGATTTATCAAGGATTATTATTTCCATGTGGTATTGTGTGCATGTTTATTTTTTAAACGAAATCTCAACACAAGTTTATTTGTTGTGAACGCTTAATAATATTGAATTTATAGTTTTTGTATAGATTATTATATTTTTGGTTTGTTTGTGAGTGAGGAAATGTTGTGATATTTCGTAGAGAGTCAGCTTTTGATGCTGAAGGAATGCATTTTTACTGTAGTTCGCTGAAGCATCGCGAGAGAGAAGGTCACGCATCGTGAAATACCTTTACGACGTTCTATACCTTTCTTATTCTTCTTATTCTTATTCTTATTCTTCTCACTTAACTTCCTTTCGTGTATCATCTTATTATTCTTCTTCTTTTTCTTTTTGTTCTTCTTTTTGTTCTTTTTATTCTTCTTCTTATTCTTATTCGGCTAGTTTGAGATTCGAAAGAGAGACTGTGACTCGAGAGAACTCTCCTCGACCGTTTGACCGACTACGGTGGTTTTAATGTTGTACGTCAGTTGCGGCAGGTCACGAGGAACGGCTCTCAAGATGGCCTACATTATACTATTTCGTTATTATCGTTGACCAGGAAAAAGAGAAAAAGAGAAAAAGAAATTGAGACGACGAGAGAAAGGAAAAAGAAAAAAAAAAGAAGAATAAACGGGAGAAAGGAGAACAAAAATTTGTCACCAATCGAAAGAACCGATTGATTAGTTTCAATCAAAAATTATTATTACGAAAATTTTCGATTCTTTTGGAAAAGAAAAAAAAAAGAAAATAACAAAAAACAAAATGGGCCAAGCTTGGTGCAAGGAAAAGACTTCAAAGGCTCAGGATTCGAAATCCCCTTTGGATCGGGTCTTTGTTCGATGTGCTCATCGGGTATGTAAAAAGAAACCACAATTGTATTTTTATTTATTTTTTTTTCTTTCTACTTCTTTTTCCTTCTTCCATTCTCTTAAACTTTAACAATGCGAAAGATATTTTTTTCTTTTCCTTTTTCGTTTTCCTTTTTTTTTTTTTATTCTTCCATTCAGAATATCAGATAATTTTATTGCAAGAATTGTTTACGCGTTTGACGGTATTTAAACGTTAGGTGTGTTTACATTTCTATATTTAACAATGGAAGATAGATAAAAAAATTTTAATGAATATTCAGTAATGGAATATATCTCGTACGAATAAATTATAGATTATAAATTCGCGATAGATTTATTGATTTAATGTTTATTTCTGACATTGATAGATCTCCATAGCGATTTAACATCGTCCATTTGGGGGTGGGGGGGGAGAGAGGGGGGATGGTGTTGATGTTATTACATCGTTACAATTAACTTCATTTTAATGATAATATTCATAAATCTTCGTGAGATTAATTATCTCTCCCATCGTTGGGAATATTATAATATTTTCTTTAATATTGAAATAGAAAAAAAAAGAGAGATAGAGATAGAGATAGAGATAGTGATAGAGAGAGAGAGAGAGAGAGAGAGAAAACATTTTGATAGAATTAAAAGTAAATTAACGCGTCGATTTTATCGTCAACGTCATTGAAACAAAATCTCACCAAAGTCGTATTATATTACGTAATAATTAAGAAAATATTTTTCTTTATTTTGTATACTTAATGCACGAAAAAAAAGGTTAGACGTAGATAAAAATGGAACGTTTATCGTATAGAAAACGAGAGTCGAAGGACGTTATAATACACAGGTGTCGATCTATAAGTAAGGAATCTTATTGCAAAATAAGAAAATTAAAATGAACACACACTGTGTTAGATAGATAGTTAGATAGTAGAAAGAAAGATAGAAGAATAAGAAGAGCAGTTGGCCGTTTCTCGAGTTACCGATATGCAGTATCAATTAGCTTAAGTGCGATAAGTTACGTGCTAAACGAGAAATCGCAACTGGTAATATGGCTGACACATTTTATAAAATAATTTTCTAGAGAGCGTTTGGTGACTAACACACACACACACAAAAAAAGAAAACGAAAAACATTAGCTAGATTTTTAAATTAATTTAAAAATATGAGATCATGTATGTTTTTGTATGCGCACGTGTATATATATATGTATGAGGAAGAAAAAAGAAAAAAAAAAAAACAAACACAAAAACAACAAACTTTCTTAGATGTAACTTTTTGCATACCAACGAAATTATAGCTTGTCTGGGGTCTACTTTTACATCGGTTCTCTCACGTTTCAAGTTTCTTAGCTACCTTACATCGCAACAACAGGATCGTGACAATTGCGTAAATCTTAATGACATGTATATACTTATATTATACTGTGTGGGTTAAAAATGACTTACTCATTTTGAAAAAGAATTATTTTATTTTTTTCTCATTTTTCTAATTAGACGATTAGAATGTCATTAATAAGAAAATCTTGGAATTAATATTTTTCTTTAGATTTACAAGAGCTGGATTTAGAAGAGTTTTTTGTGTTTTGATAATAAAACTTTTATTCTATTTTTAAATAAAAGTAACCGAAAAATATACTAATAATAGTAGTAATCGTGGTTTATTGAAACACAGTCTGATGGTTTAACTGACAAAAATAAAAAAATATATATACATAAAAAGATTATTTTATGTTAGATTGAAAATTTTTTAACCCACCCACATACATACATATATGTATATAGAATAAAATATTCAATTATGTTTCTCAATATTTGTTAAAAATAAAATCATATAAATAATATAAAATAATAATATTACATACATAGATATTTAAGAATGTGAAAATATAAAGAAGTTAAATAACAATAATAAGAAAAGAGGAAATAACGTGTATGAATCATTTAACGTGTAGGATGATGCCATCGATCTAGCATGATGCATTTCATTTTGTTATTTTTGCTATTTGCGACTACTTTACTTCGTGGATATTCGTTAGAAAATGTATGGGTAAGCATGAGAAGATTTTTCCGGCTCAAGGCTAACAGAGTTAAACGAGTTACGATGTTACTCGTCGAAGTAAAAAAACGTGTGATGCATAGGTACCTTCGATGGCGCAGTTACAAACTCATCGTCGACTATTTAACGACTGCAACTTGTTAATAAGCAATAATACGTACAAGATCACACATAAACCTAAATACACATATCTCTACGTACACGCATACGGTAAATGTCTTTTACACGGTACATCGAATTGACGTTAAAAATTTATTTTATTTGGATAGAATGCCTTGTTCATTATGTAAGAACGTAAAGGCCGCGACGATAAATTCAAAATTTGATTTATCTCTCCTCGATAATACGAAATAATTTTTACATTAAAAATACAGTGATCGGTGTCAAAAATCTGATCTGTGTCGTTAATTTAAAACGTTAAATTCTTTACTCGATATTACAGCAGTGGGTTGAAAAGTTTTGAGCCTCGATAAAAGACAAAAAAACTTATATTCTTTCTGTTCTTGTTTTTGTTTTTTTTTTTTTTGCAAATAAAAACGAGTTTTTACCGTAAGAAAATTGTTTGCATGTTATAGGCTTTAAACCCATTTTCAATCTACCCCACGTATATTCTTTAATTATTTTATTGGATAATATATATACATATATTATCGTAATATTGTGAATATTATTTTATTACTATCTAAAAAATTGTTGATTATATTATTTATTTTTTTTTTTCATCATTTTTCCTTTTTATAATCGCTAACAATAATTAAATTCAAGTTAATCAAACCTGTTCTCCGTTACGACGTTATTCGTAAGGAAAAAAATTATACCTATATAATTGTTTATAAAAATGGAGAATTATATATTATATAAAACATAATAATACGTTTGACCGATTATGATATAAATAAGTAGTATACGTAAATTGTCTCTGCAAGGTTTTGTGTTAATGGAAATGAAAATTTTTGTTCTACGCTCATCAGAGATCAATTTTCTTCAATCGGTCAATTATCACCTTCTTCCCACCCCCTAACTACCCCCTTTCACTGTTCGTATCTATCCTTTCTCACTAGCTCGACGAAGTTTATCTAACGAATTTGCAATGTAAACGTTGAGGGTAGAGGCGTGATGTGAAACTCTCGTGTACGATACGTGTAGATACGATTTCTGAAAGGGAGTGAGTGTTCATATGTTATAGTTTGTCGACAGGATGTTACCCTCGTGTCGCGTTATAATATAAGCGACCGCTCGTAACTCACAAGCTTGTTTCTCAGTTATCTCTTTTTCTCTCTCTCTCTCTCTCTCTTTATCTCTTTTTATCTTCCTCAGGATGTTAAACATCTCTTCTTCTATTATTTTGTATTTTTTTTTTCCCCCCAAGAACTACCTAAATCGATCTTCATTAATTGTAAGTTAAATCAGTTATGGTAGAAACGTTTTAATACAATACGATCAAATTTTTATCATCTGTATTATTATTATTATTATTTTTTCTTATAAATATTAATTTATATATTGTTTTGTGGGTTTTTCTTTTTTTTATATTTTTTATGGGTGGTAGCGAGAATAAATTTTAATACATTTTTAAATTAAATATGATAATAATTTCGTTTATTTTTTATTATATGGAGAGGTAATAGTTCAAATGATTTTAAATTTATTCTTAACTTTTCTAGATCGACCTTCATCGAGTTATATCGAAAATAAGAGTAAAATAATTTCGTTAATTTAATGCTTTTTATAATACTTTGAAATTTTCCTTGATATATATATATAAGAAAAATGTAAATAATGTGAAGATTAAATTTTATCAAATGTATTTCTTTATTCATCAATACTACTACTACTTTTACACATGCATATATTTATTATACATTTTTTTAAATAATTATATAGAAAAAAAATTAGATGATCTTAGAATATATTTAAACAAAAAAATCTCCAGGATCGATTCAAATATATCGATTTCGAATGAATTATCATAATATTCAGAGACATTTAAGTAAAAACGACAAAATATTACATACGAAATTTCGTTACTTTATCTATCGATAGGGTTACTCGTATATAACACAGCAGACATACGTATAGGTTTATACATATACTTTTTTTTCTGCTTTATCCCATCCTTTTCAACGTAATCGTGTTTTCATGTTTCCGAGGATACAAAGAGAATTATGCAACAACTCGCACGACCGAGTCGAGTTGCTCGTTGTCGAGTTGATCGTCGATTATGCAAGCCTTCGCCAAGAGCGTCACGGTCCAAATCGTCTCTGCGTCTGTTTTCAAAATAATAATAATAATAAAAGAAAATATATATATATAAGAAAAATAATAATAATAATAATAATAAAGGAAAACTCAAAATTCTACGAATAAACATATTTTTGTTTTCATTCGAATGTTATATTGTTATTACAAATATATCTATTACATATATTATAATATTATTTACATATATTTATATTAATATATTTTATTTACATATATATTTATATTATATTATTTACATATATTATATATTGTTATTACAAATATATCTATACGTTTCAAAAAACGCGATAGATCACATCGATAGATCTCATATATTGGAAAACACGAAGAGACACATAAGATTCTGTTGATTTCTGATCGTATTAATCGGGGATTTAGATTGCCTGAAAGGGAATTCATGAGTAGATTTTCCTTCGTTAGGGAAACTAACGTTCCAGAGAGATAGAGATAGATAGATAGATAGATGCATATGGATAGATAGTTGAAGAGTGAGAGGGATAGCTAGGGATAGAAAGAGAGAGGAAGGAAGAGAGAGAGAGAGAGAGAGAGAGAGAGAGAGAGAGAGAGAGTATGAGAGTGGCTGACAGCTCTGAAGCAAACTCCCGTGCTGCACGAAATTCCCGGCTGGCACGGGACAACGGGGGTGCTTGCTTTAAAATTTAAATTATTCCTACTCGTCCCTGGATGCCACCTGTAGGTTCAATTTAATTTTACAACTGTACGCACCCAGACAATAGAGAAACTTCGGCAACGCGAGCACGAGTGTCGTTCCGTCAAGCTTAAATCTAATTTTTCATCCTACCAACCCTCATCTCTTTCTCTACTCGGATATCTATCTATCTATCTATCTATCTATCTATCTATCTATCTATATAAGCTATTTATTTCGCTTTGTATTTATGTTACTCTTTCACTTTCTATATTACTGTCACTTTCTTTCTCTTCATATTTTTATATATTTTCTTACACACTCACTGAAAATGAATAAGAAACTCATTCACTCTCTCTCTCTCTCTCTCTCTCGATTTGTCGATTATTTTCTTCTTTTTCTTTTTATTCGCTTTATTATTTTTCTTTATATCTTATTACTACAACTTTCTTTCATTCTCTACTTTTCTATTCTTTCTTATTTATTTATTTATTTAACTATTATATATTATAATTTATGGATTAATATTATTCTTTATCTTATTAATTTATAGTTATACTTTCTACCCTTGTTTTTATTTTTTTGTTTTTTTGTTTACGGTAATATTATTTTCTCTTTCTCTATTCATTTATTTATTCGTGTATCCTTTTCTTTCCTTTTGTGGATTCGTATTATTCTTTTGTATCTTTTTATCTTATACAGTCATTCTCTTTCCCCTTTTTTTCCTATCTCTCTCTCTCTCTCTCTCTCTCTCTGTCTCTCTCTTTTGAATTTATTCTAAATCTTTTTATCCCTCTCTCTGTTTCCTTTAAATTTAGTTTCAATCTTTTTCGCTTTCTTCTTTTCTCTCTCTCTCTCTCTCTCTTTCTCTCTTACAATCAGTGATTTCCTGTTTCTCTTTTTCCGTTTAACTTTCTGTTAATCTTTCCCCAACCAACTTCCTCTTACTTTTCCTTTCTCTAACATTCACCATGCTTTTGTTTTTGTTATATTCATCCCCTTTTTCTTTCTATCTATTGAATTTTTCGGTCTACTTATAAAATGGGTAGAAAGCAATAAAAACCTTAACCGATATCCAAAGAGACCTTTAACTTCCCTGTTTACTATAGGGTGTAGTAACCCTAAAAGCTTTGTTTTCTTTCTCTTTTTTGGTTTTTTTTTTATTTTGCCATTTTGCTTTCTTCTTTCTTTCGTCTAACCGTTTGTAGCAAGGATCGTCGTTTTACCCTTCAAAATTGTACCTCGTAAAACACGTTTCTGGAAGGAGGGACGATTTTAAAGGAACTTTGTTCTCTTTCTCTCTCTCTGTCTCTCTTTATTTTCGTTTTGCTTTTTTCTTCAAGGTCAATTTAACCATCGACTTCAATGAGATTCGTTGGAACGTGTCGCGTGAGATTGAAAAAAAATCATTCCTCGAACGTGCCAATTTCTTTTTCCGTTTTCTTTCCTTTATTTTTTTTTCTTTTCTATCCTTCCTAAAAAACAATTCATACAAATCTGATATTATAAGATTTGTTTAAATACAAAATTATATATTAAGACGAATATTAATCCTCTTTTTTATTTTTTGTTCTCGTGTATATATATATACATAGATTAAATTAAATACAATTTTAATCGCGGGAGATTAATGAATTTATTTAAAAGATGTGCTAAACACATTATCTTCCAAAGCTAATTATCATTATCTTTATTCGATAGACGACCAATAATAAATTTATCTAATTAAGGGTTGAATTTCTTTTGTAGATTTATCCGAGCTTAAAAGAAGAGGGTTCTGTTCTCGGTGGTGCCACTCAAAGAGTAACGAGGTAGGTATAATACCGGTGACACAACTTTTCACACACACACACGAAAACAAATCCAAACAACGTAAAAAAAAAAAAAAAGAACAGACAAAATAAAATAAAATAAACTAAAATAAACTAAAATAAAATAAAATAAAATAAAATGAAACAAAACAAAAATGAATTGAAATGAAATAAAATAAAATAAAATAAAATAAAACACTGAGAAAAAAAGATAATAAATAATAACATTGAAATACGAGTTAGAATTCGTTAACGAAGTACGCGAAGGACAATCGTTTTGTGACGGCAAGGCCAGTCCAATTAACGTAGCATAATCCTGGGTGATCTCGTGCAACGACCTATTAGCGAGAAGCAGGAAAGAGGTGCAACCGGTGACACGACGGGGATTGTGATAGTGACAAAGTGAAATCCGAATCGAATGATCGAGTCTTTCGATGAGAGAAATAGTCAGAGAGAGAGAGAGAGAGAAAGAGAGATAGAAAAAGAGAGAAAGAGAGAGAGAGAGAGAGAGAGAGAGAAGGAGAACACGCCTTCAACGTTAAAGGTAAAGCCTTTAGTTGAAGTGAGCAACAATGAATTGGAATGAATCGGGATCAGTGGTGAGACGTGAAGCGAAAGAGCACAAGCAAACCTGGTTGTTGGGTCGACCTTAAATGGTCACATTCTCTGGTAGGATCGCCATCCTCAACGCCACCGCAATACGCCTATCTTCGATGAACATCGAAAAGAAACTTCTCTCACAGAGAGAGAAGGAAAGAGAAAACTATTTTTTTATTACCTTTTTTTTAATAGTTTCTTTTTTTATTTCTTTATACATAATGAGTCAATGTATTGTAGATTGATAATTAATTATTATTTGTAATTGTATATTCAACGTTGTATATATTTGTGATTTTTTTGTTTTTTTTTTTTATTTTAAATATTTTTGTATGTCTTTATGAGTCAATGTTGTAAGTTGATATTTTATTTGTGGTAATTGTATATTCAACGTTGCATATATTTGTGATTTTCTTTTTTTTATATATAGAAAAGAAATTTTAGAAATAAAG